AAAATTTTTTTCCATTTCTTCGCTATTCACTCAAACCAGAAAGCAACCAGTCAGGGGAGGAACAAGCCCCTTGCGCGGCTACAGACTTCTGAGATAGACAATATCATTCCTCACCCTGTAATCTGCTTACTCCGGATTTCACTGACATGATTGAATTTAGTTTCATTGATGAGTCTTGTCTTTCTCTTAATCCGGGCATTTTCCAGCTGGCCAGGTGCAAAGTTTTCTCCCCTGTTTTCTCGGATGATCCGGCATTAGAGCTAAAATACACAGTCTCTTTTGGTTGTTAGGGGGAGGAGGCGGGGCGGGAAGCGTGGGCGGGCCTCGCTCTGAGCGCCCCCTGCCGTCCCTCGGCGGCTGCGGCTCCCATCCACGGGCGTTCAGGCGGCGGAAGTCGCGGAGCTCGGGTTAGTGCGAGGGCCGTGACGCTTTTCTCACACGTTTCTCAGTCGCTAGGCCGGAGAGTCCAAGCTACAGTGCAAGCGAGGAGGGGCTTTCTCGGCCGTCTCACCTGCCAGAGTGTTTTTTAGTTTCCCCGAGAGAGAGCCACTAACTGGGGGGACCGGACGCACTCGTGTGCAGACCCCGACGGGCTGCGTCGGGAGAGAAGCGGTTGGTGGGCCTTTCTCAGGTCGGACCGACTAACAGACTCGGCGCACACCTGGTGTGAGAGGACGAGGGAGGACAGCGCCGCCCTGTGGATGTCGGGGGGAGGGCGGGGAGGCAAAGGAACGGGCTGCTTGCGGGTTTCCCAGGGTTTGAAGGCGGCTGTCAGTTCCCAGTTCTGAGATGGAGAGGGCCCTCGTTGAAATGAAACTGGTGGCCATAGTAAGGGTTTTCTTTAGCCCGAGAAGAGGGTTTTCCGGAGAGTGTACCCCTTACCTTCATCACAATTTGGGAAGCGGTTAACTGGTTGCCATGGGCGGTGAAGTCAGAAAGGAAGATGACTTCATCTAACAATTGAGGATTGTTTTGGTGAGGCTGCGGCTTCAGAGCCTGAAATGTGATCTTGGAACAGCCTTGTTCTCCTGCAGTAAACACCGAGAACTTGTTCCGTTAGGTATTTTTAGTTCTTTGAGGACAAAGCTCTCTGTTCATGCCGCTTTGATGCATTTTGGTACCTCGTGCATGACCACGTTGCCAACAATATTGTGTTGTTAACCTTTGAGTTCTCTTTGGTTCAGGACCTGTTTTACAGAAAAGGTAACATCCATGGTAGGTCACTTCTCTGAACCTCTGCCTGGAAGAGTTCTTGTGTTTATGTAATTGATTTCAGAGGGGAAGGGAGAGGGTGAGAGAGAAACAGCAATGATGAGAGAGAACCTTTGATCAGCGGTTCCTGCACGCCCCCTACTGGGGATCCCGCCTGCAGCGGGGCATGTGCGCTGCCGGGAATCCACCCCATGACCCGGTTCATCGATGCTGCTCAACCACTGAGGCACACCGCTGGGCCCGAGTTCTTTCAATGTGATTATTATACCTTATGCATAAATTAATGAGCATTTATGGAAACAGCAGTGAGTTATGAAGTTCTAAGACTTGCATTTTAATTTTTTATATCTTAACCTCATTGATGTATTTTGAAGTGAATCATAGACATCTACATCCGCCACTTCTACCTACTTCAGCATGCATATCTGTAAAAGCATATTACTATAAGACAAAAATATCACATTTTAAAATAAATAACTTCTTAATGTTATCTAATTTTCCATCTTTAAATTTATCAAATTATCTCCCAGATGTCCTATGTCCAGCTGTTTTATTATACCAGGATCCAATTAAGGACCAAATATGTTTTTGGTTATGTATGTCAAGCCTTTTAAGATATAAAATAGCCCACCCACTTTGTTTTTCTTTCTCTGATTGGCTAAAGAGTCCAGGCTTTTTTTTCCTGTAGAATAGCTCACCTTTTAAATGTTTGATTACTTTCTCTTGGTGTTTAGCTTACTGCTCTGGTCCCCACATTTCTTCTTTTTAATCCTCACCCAAAGATATTTTCCCCATTGATTTTTATTTTATTATTATTTTTTGTTAATCCTCACCCGAGGATATTTTTCCATTGATTTTTTTTCTTGATTTCAGAGAGGAAGGGAGAGGGAGAGAGAGATAGACACATCAACGATGAGAGAGAATCATTGATCAGCTGCCTCCTGCACACCCCCTACTGGGGATCGAGCCCACAACCCAGGCATGTGCCCCTGACTGAAATCGAACCGGGGCCCTTCAGTCTGCAGGCCGAAGCACTATCCACCGAGCCAAACCTGCTAGGGCTCTATTGATTTTTTTTAGGGAGAGTGGAAGAGAGAGGGAAAGATAGAAACACATCGATTGGTTGCCTCCTGCACGAGCCCCAAGCAGGGCCCCGGCTGATTTTTAGAGAGAGTGGAGGGGGGGAGAGAGAGAGATTGATGTGAGAGAGACGTAGCAATTGCCTGCCTCCTGGGCCAGGAATTGAGCCTGCAACTGAGGTACATGTCCATGACAGGGGAAGAGAGACCCTTCACTCTCGGGCCCTCTAACCACTGAGTGAAACTGGCCAGAGCTGGTCCCTGCATTTCTAATAAACCTGGACATAATGCTAAAGGTTCCCCTAGATTTGTGACATCTTAATCTACCTCATGTAACCTTCTGGTTTTTGTTTGTTTATTTTGCTTTTCTCCTTAAGACAAAGTAAGCTGTGAGGTGCTATTTTGGTTTCCTACAAATGTCTAGCCCCCATCATCCATTTACTTAATGGCCTTAACAATAATTGTTAATTCTTGCCTGACTCAATTTTATTAGGGGTTGAAAAATGATAATTTCTAATTCTTTCATTTCCATCTATATTTAATAACCTGCATTATTCTGTTGAGTAGAAGCTTTCTTTTATATGCTGGCAATATTCAGTTACCCTGAAATACAGTTGTGGTGGCTATAGTAAGGGTTTTCTTTAGCCTGAGAAAAGGGTTTTCTGGAGAGTGCTCCTTACCTTCATCACAATTTGGGAAGGGGTTAACTGGTTGCAATGGGCGGTGAAGTCAGTTACCCTGAAAGACAAAAAAAAATTTAGTTCTTTTACTTACCAATTTTTAAAATAATGTGGTTCAAAGAGTGATAAATGAGTTTTTCTAGCTTTTATCTTTTCTGAACATCATTATGTACTAATAGATTTGGGTATGTTTTAATCATTCTTTCTGTTTTTCAATTTTTGATGCTTCTACAATACCTCTCAAGGAATTCTATGTAATTATTATACTTTTTAAATATTCTTTGAGCATTTTTTTAGTAGATGTAATATTGGACTGGTGGGAAGATTAGGCTGGATTTTAATCTTTTTTTCTGTTTTGCTTTTGCCAAGGTCTGGCTGGGTGACCTTTAAACAAATTGCTTAATCTTTTTGGGCCTCACTTTTTTCATCTATACAAATAGAGTTTTGGCAGCTCTGTTGTTCTCTGACTTTAAAAAACAACAATGATTTTATGAAATACTAAAGGCCCGGTGCACGAATTCATGAATGGGTGGGGTCCCTTGGGGTGGCCTGCAGAGATTGGGCCCCAGCTCGTGCTCCCAGCCTTGCAGTCCCAGCTCATGCCCCAGCCTCGCAGCCCTGCAGTCCAGCCTGGCACCCTGCCTTGGCCTGGCACAGCCTCCTCACCTGCTCCACCATCCTGCCTGCAGGACGATCAATCAGGGCCAGGCTCCCCACCCGGCTCCCTCAGCTCTTGGGAGCTGGGCGGAGGCCTATCCCCCCGCTGCTGCCGCTGGTCACCGTCTGCAGGGTGATC